TCACTTATATGGTATGTTGATGAGGAACTAGTCCGATGAGGTCCCGTAAGCTATGTAGGTCAGCGAGTGAAGTATGAGGAAACGGGTGAAAAATACTTTAGTGGTATGTCACTAATCAGTTATGTAGGCGTGTTCGTGCGAGAGCCGATAAATACACAGAACTCGTAAATGTGGTGTCGGTCAACTTGCCAATGTGTTAGGGGCGGTGAATTTATTGAGTGGCGAGTCACATCCGCCACGTCGCAGTGTTGTTAAACAGACATTTGTGGCTTTTTGTAGGGAAAACGCTTGCCAGACGAAGACCCACCACGTCCTGGAACACTGCCGTACAGCGTAGTCATTAACGCGGGTTCGCCGTGTTTCGATACTTCAGGCGGGATCTCGTCGGCACCACCACACTTACCGTTTCGCAGCTGAGTAAGTGCCCTCTGCGTCTCATCCAGTGTCGGCTTGTCCGCCAGACTTGTCTACACATCGTGCTGCTTGAGGCCATTCAATGTAGGCCAGTGGATCTCTGAACGGTTGTTCAAGAGACAGTCAAAGTGTTTTCGCCAGATCTGCATTATGTCTGCAGTCTGTGTGCAGGTAGCGCCTGAGCTACCATCGATCAGTGTCCTAAACCACTCCAATCTAGGTCCATGCACCGCCTTCAAGGAGTCAAAGAATTCCTTGTTTTCTCGGCGTTCGGCGTAGCATTCCATGTGCTTCGCCTTCTCCGTTCACCATCCATTTTTAATGCGTTGAACCCCTCGGGTCAGTCGCCGTCGAAGTTTGCGAAACTGACCAAGTCACTGGGGTCTGCAACGTGTGCAGCAAGTGCTGCAATCTTCTCCGACACCAATGCGCCAATCGTCGCAATGTTGTCATCAAACCAGTCAGGTCGCTTACAGTTTGCGCGCCCGATGTTCTCCTCGGCAGGAGCTGTCACCTAGTGGCAAGTGTGGTGCCACAGGTCGCCCACTGTGGCTACGCAGTCCACCTCACATAGGCTTGCAGCCATCGCCTTCTCCAGCTCAGTTAGTTTCACCACAATACCGAGGGATGGAATGTTAAATTTACGCCGATTCACGGCGGGAGTGCAATACACAGATTTACGAAAATATATGTACACTTTGGTCCACCAACTTGTGATCAGTGCCACACTCAGCTCCACGCAGTACACGTGTCATGCGCACTTCACGCATATCACGATGACGTAGGATGACATAGTCGAGCAGGTGAACGTGACCACTTCATGGGTGCGTCCAAATACGTATATCACTCGTACTCAGTGCAAACCGAGTGTTTGTGACCGTCAGGCCGTGAGTGGCACACAGTGAGAGCAGCCTGTCACCGTTCGCATTCGCTGAACCAATGCCATGCGAACCGATAACATCTGTCCACACCAATGCATTACGAACAACGCGCGCAGTGAAATTACCCAGCAGGAATAGTCGGTCGCCCGTCGGCACAGACCGCATCACGGAAGATAGCTCAGTGTAGAACTGAGCACGCGTGTCAGCGGGATAACACATGGTCGCACGTGCTTATAAAAGTAGCAAACGTACCTCTCCCGAGTCGTAGGCGAACCGTCATCAGTCGCGCGCTAATGGCCGTTGGTTCACCCACGAGCTGGCCATGGAGGCGATCGGATATTGCAAATCCGACCCCATGGTCAAGTGGTGCTGAATGTGTAGCCAGCACTTGCTTCATGCAACTTACCTTGCTCAGCGAGCCGGGTTTCGCTGAGCGCCGCAATATCGATGTTGTAGCGCGCCAGCTCCATCGCGACCAGTGCAGTGCGTCGCTCCGGGCGTTCGCTGGAGTTCCGATCCGGTAGTGTGCGCACGTTCCAGCACCCGATGCTGTGCTTTGCGCGCAGGCATACGATTGCATTGGTGGGCAATCGCAAGCGAGGTTGTTGTTGTGGTTCGAGTTTACCTTGAGGGACCCCACCCGGAGCCTTTGGCTCAGTAGCCTGACGCACAAGACAGTGGGGAGCAGAGCCAGCTCGGGAATGTGATTGCGGAGACAGATTGGGATCTGCTTGACGGCCGTCACACGCTGGTTTTGAGGTTCTGGAACGTTTTATACATGTTTTGCGACCGCAGTAGGATACGCACATGCGACCACGGCCAGACGCAGGTGAGTTCTGGCGGGTTTGCACCAATTTGACCAGGGGCTGCCTGGCTTGAGATGGGCAGTAGCAAACCATTGAACACCCGGAGGTGTCCTCCCACCGTCAGAGATAATGCGCGGCGCTCGTGCTCTACGCCAATCGTGCCGTGAGCTTATAACTCGCAAATCTGCTGTCTTCCATGGCTAGGTTTTACTGGAAGAAGGCCATCGACCACTTCCTAAACTCCGGAGAAGATAGACTAGGATACTGCCAGGGCGCCCAATCCTGACAGTAGAACGACTCGGGTCGTCAGCCAAGTCTTTCGAATAAATGAACACCCAAAAGGCAGCGGGTCTAGCACATGGTCAGTTCACTGTCTCATGCGGATTGGTGTCCTGGATCTTAGCAGGGAGAAGGGCGAAACCCAAATCTTACCCAGCGGTTGCCACGAGGAGGCGCACAAGACATGAGCAACTGGCACAGCAGTAACAGCAGTGGGCAGACCATCCGTCAGGATCTAGCCACCACCAGCATCAGCGCAACCTAGGCTCTCCCGCCATTTATATAAATATATAAATATATATATATATGCCAGCATATGTATAAGTGCCCTCATATAAATGTCTAGTGAGCCGTGAGCGAGGCCACTCGGTACCACTACAGAAGCGAAGACGGGTCCTGCAGAGAACGTAGGCAGAACCTGCGCAGCGTTTGTAGGTGCGCTGCATTCGATATACTTGCACGCTGCCTCTATTTCAGGTGGTGGGTTTTCAGTTTTGCCTTAATGCTTTTCTTTCTCATATAAATGTCTACATGTACTCTATTCCATTAACTTGCACACCTCGCATAAGCCAATTGTATTCGCTTTCCATAAATATTTTGTGTTCGTGGCATTTACGTAAAGTATACTTTCTGACCTCGTGAACTTATCTAGGATTCGTTGGTAAACAACTTATTTCATATGCTCATTCACTTAAAGTTTATGTCACCATTATGCATTAAGCGAGTTATTTTCTTTGTGTCTCTCTCTTAATTGATTGCCTGTTGTTTGATATCCCCGGTGTGGCTGCGCTTGATGTGCGAGTTGACAAGGTGCCTACCTGTCCATTACCCACTACCTCGTCCATCTGCTCCAGGAGACAGTTGATCGTTGCTGGAGTGGGCGAGGGGCACGGTCCTTGTGGCCGTGTTGGGATCAAAGAGTGGTTCCATGCAGAGTGTGGAGCGGACTACGGTCCAGCCACCGCCTTGTGTGCGCTTGATTCCCAAATACAGCGTGCTTGTGTTTGCATGTGAAGGAGTGTGGGCCGGCTCCGTTGATGAAACGTGGCTCCCCTTCGCATGCCTCCCTGTCTTATTCCTTCGGGTTTACACTGGATAGGGGTGTGTGGTTGGAGCTGTGGGTGGTGCAGCACAAGCCATCCATGGTCCCTCTGTAGGCGCAGGCGTCCTGTGGCTTGCTGCATTAACCGGCAAATCCGAATACGGATGCCTCCAACCAATTTTCTATGAATGTCGCTTGTATTTTTGAATGTGCGGCAGAGTTTTTGACGGTTTTCTGCAGGAATGTGAGAATAAGATATTGGTGTCCTTTGGTTGCGTACCATTTTCCGGATGTCCACGGGCCAGTGCCTTTAGTTTGCGGCCAGTCACATCCGCCACGTCAGAGTGTTGATAAGCAGATATTTGTGGCCTTCTATAGGGAGAACGCTTGCCTTGCGAAAACCCACCACGTCCTGTAACGCTGCCGCCGAACTATTTGCTGCAACGGGTTTAAACCCGAACCAACCAGATGGCACGAAGAGGAGGTTGTTCGGCTAGTCTTCTGGGGATGGAGGTATCCTACCTTAAAGGATGCGAGCAGATTACAGGATACACTAGATACGCTACATGAGTGGTCAGACAAATGGCGATTGCTGAAAAATCACGATAAATGCTTGGTCCTCCACATTGGTGCTCCTGGGAATTTCGGGCCGTACCACATTGGTAGCACAGTGCTCCGAAACTCACTCCTCAAAGAGGCCTTGGGGTGTTGGTGCCATCTGATCTACGGACTACGCAGGACGCGTTACGTAGGTTTGCTCCTGCCAACAGGATGATTAATGCCATACGATGACCCATCTCGCGTTTGATTCCGGATATCACCAGACACTTGGTTACTTCACTTGTGGGCCCCATACACGACTTTGGATTACCTGCTGTGTTCCCTCTCACCAAGTTCGAATTTGGCCACATTGAGAAGGTCCAACGGCGGGGATCGAAATACATCGGACTTACGAGATTTGCCTTATTCCCTGAGACTTTAATGGATGAACCAGTCCCTCTGGATTATCGGAGACGGCGCGGTGACGTGATTTTCACTAGGCGGATTCTGTGAGCGGAAATGCGGTTGGAGCTTCAGGCGTTCTTTTTATTCAATGCAAACAGTTCAACTCGAGGGCACAAATGGAAACTGTTTAAACCAAGATGGCTATGGGTTCGCCCTGCTCTCACGCTATGAACTGGCGCAGTCCATTACTGAAACGACTTATCGAAGCATGTGGTCAGTGTCCAGACCGAGGGTTTCAAGCAAATGTTGGATTCCTGCCTTGCAGCTTCCACTTAGCTGTCGCTGTCCCTTGTGGAATATCGCCTATCATCGAATAGCGGCCTCACACAAGTCTCGGGAAACGATGGAGCTGGCAAAGGATTTCCTACTACTACAATCCTGTGATCCAATGGAACCGGGGAATCCCCAGACTGCTACAACCTTGGGGATTCGAAGAAAAAATGACGCAGGAAGTTTGTGTCTATATCCATAATGACAGTATATTTGTTATAACAACAACCATCTTGTCATAGTTCTTTATTATATCCAGTTGAAATATGAACTGGCGGTACACTGTCATCGAACGTTCTCATGCCAATAACGGTACTAACATTTTATATTATTCACAGTCAGGAGCTGACAGCACATCCTCCAAATTACGATCAGCTGTTCCCGATTTACCTTCTCTCCATCGTGCTTCGCGCTGTGCCCTCCAATCCATGGCGTTCGCTTCATTAAAGAAGAAAATCGCTATTAACAACCAGGTTCTTCTTGCAACTCAATTGTAATTTCCTTAGGCCTTGAGTGAAAAGCTATCGAAGTCCAAAAGTACTACGGTGGACGATGAATACAGACAACTATCATCGGTGCGTTCTCTCCCCATTTCGTCGAGTTGTATGGCTTTTCGTCTCAAACTTCTTTGCTTGGAAATATATATCATTGAGATCTAGAAACACTCGTTTATCCGCCGAAAGAAATAAACTTTTATTCTCAGCTAAGCGAGGCACGCTTGCACAGACATGATTATGGTAAGAGTGCAACGGGTGCTCAAGGAATGTACACTAGGATTGTCATATATGTTGGCACCTGTATGCATTTATGTGCGTGCAGGCATGTACAGCTATGTTGCTTGGTTTGTAGTTTTGCTGTTTTTGCCAATGATAAATAGATGTTTAATGACCGTGCATTGGCACTGATTGTACGGATGCGCATTAGGTTGCTGGTATACAATGCTTCGCCATTAGGAAGCAAGGGGCAGTGACTATATTTATTGGCGAGTCAGAACCGCCACGTCACAGTGTAGTTAAATGGACATTAGTGGCTTTTTATATGGAGAACGATTGCCAAGCGTAAACCCACCATGTCCTGGAACACTGCCGCCGAACTGTTTTCTGGAGCGGAGTAAACCCGAACCACCCAGCTGGCACCACGGGGAGATTGTTCGACTAGCCAGCATAGAAACGCTGCAGTATATCTAGAAATGACCTTACGTATTTCATTGAGTTCATTGAGTTGTAGAGAGCAGGAGGGAAATCCCTTGTCAGCCCCATCGATTCCGTATCATACTGGGTTTGATGCGTGTCGTTGCGTTACGAGGTTCCTCGAGGGTTCGTCGTAATTGCAGTGACAGCCGCAAGATTCCAGCATTCTCAGCGAATGTTTGTCTAGCAACCGCTTGAAACTTTCCTCGGATGGAGCGTCTGCAATTGCTTCCGGTAGGCTGTTCCAGTCATTCACCACTCTAGTGGATAGGGTGACGTTCTTGCGAATTTGGTGTCTTCTTTGCTCAAACAGTTTCCATGTGTGCCCTCGGGTGGAACAGTCAGTGTTGGGCCGGAAGAATTGTTGTAACTCACTTCCAAGTTCCCCTCGGAGGATGCGTCTAGTGTAGATGAGATCTAAGGTCAGAAGTCACGATAACCCCGAGATCTCTCTCGTGGATGGTATTCCTAAGGAGAAACCCACCAATGTGGTATGCACCATAGGGTTCGGTGCCACCCATTGGGAGAACAGCGCATTTATCTCGGTTTACTGGCAGTTCCCACCTGACGGACCATTCGTGTAGCTGGTCTAGAGCCACTTGTAATCTCTCCGCATCCTCAATGCTGGATACTGTTGACCAAAGCTTGAGGTCATCGGCGTAGATCAAGCAGTCGGTTTGTAGCGCAGTCGGTAGATCGTTAATGTACAGTTTGAAGAGCTCTGGTCCAAGCACTTATCCTTGGGGAATGCCACTAGTCATAGGCACTGGAGCAGAGAGGGTTTGGTTCACTTGTACGCGCATTGTTATACTCCTTAAGAAATCGGCAGTCCAGGAGAGAAGATTTCCCGTAATGCCAATTCCCTGGAGTTTATGTAGCAGTCCTACGTGTGGAACCTTATCAAAGGCTTTGCTAAAGTCAATGAATATTACGTCAACCTGTTTTCGGGTATATATGGCTTCTGCCCATGTTTCCCTGGCTATGGGTAAGTTAGTGATGCATGAGCGTGTTCTACGGAAGCCATGTTGAGCAGGTGAGATGAGGTTTAGATGCACACAGTGTAGCTGGAGAGCGCACTTGACTATTCGTTCCATGGTTTTGCATACGACTGATGTCAGACATATTGGCCGGTAGTTGGCTGGGTCTTGTTTGTTTCCCCCCTTGTATTTGGGCGGGACGGTGCCTGCTTTCCAGCGTGTGAGTAGGCAGCCGACTTCGAGTGATTGCCGAAACACTTGGCAGAGAGGGGCGGCGACGTACTGAGCTATCGTTCTGAGGAAGCTGGGATGCAATCCGTCCGGGCCTGGGGAGGAGTTCGGGTCCAGTTCGAGGTGTAGCTTAGTGACTACTTCGGGGTTAATTTCAACTTGGTCCATAGAGATGTGGTGTGCAGGCAAACAGTTGTTGAGCAGTGGTGACTCCACTGAGTAGACCGAGGAATATTGCGCAGCCAATAAGTTTGCTTTTTCATCATTACCGTAGAGAACGGTACCTTCCTTAAAAGAGGACAGAGCGGGGATTTCACTACCAGTTTTGGCATTTCGCTTCAAGTAGGCAACAAGTTTCTTGGGACAGTTTTGGGATTCCATGGCCAGTCTATGTTCATATTGTAGTCTTTTGTCTCGTTTTCTCAGGGTGCATAGATTTCTGACAGTTTTGTACTCTAATTAGCTTGATGTCTGTCCTGTGCTCTTGAAATGATCCCATGGTTTTCGACGTTTTCATTAGGGATCTTACTTCTTTATCAATCCATGGGGGTCCTTTGGATGGTGGTCTGCTCTTGCAGTTTAGTACAAACTGTTCAATGAGCCGCGTCATCATAGATCGTAGGCGTTCCCATGCGTCATCAAGCTCCAAGGATTGCGGAATACTCCAGTTCATGTTACTTGCAGTCGTTCTTAATCTGGGCTGGTCAGTACGCCAGAAATTTCGACACAGTGTCCCCTGATCGTGGATTGTGAGGCGTCGTGTCCACGAAAAGGAGACTGTACAGTGATCACTCGTCCCAAGAGGTTGGAGGATCGTTAGGTCTGAGACATCAGATGGTGCCGAGGTGTATCATAATACATTGCTACCACCACCGCTATTTATCTACTTGTCAATACTTTTTAAGAAAATCGTAAGTTTAGACAGCGCGAGTGATCGATTGTCTTCTGCTGACTGACTTTAATGCTCCTAGTCGTCCCAGTGAGTCACGTTTCGAACGAATGTCAGTCACTTAAGAAATTTTTGCTGCGATTTGGGACTCGATTTCCAAAAGCTGCGACCGGGAAAATGCTTTCACGGCATATTTTCCAACGCTGATTTTTTCTGATTAACTCTGCCTTTTATCAGTCAATTACATCCACAGCGCTTACAAATTCTTTCCAAGGAAAATCATATTCCGTTATTAAGTTGCAGCTAATGGGCGCAAACACCCCTAATTATCGTTTCATTTATCGTTTAATCCCATATTAGCAGCTGGCATTCCACACTGTGCCCATCTGTTATGCAATCGGCTGGTTCAGGTCTGGTCACTTAAACAGTATGCACTTTTAATAGCGCTTGCGTTCGTTTGATGCAACTTCATAGCTTTAAGGACCATTTTGAGAAGTCTACGGTGGAATGTGATTTTTAAGGAAGAATTCGGAAGCCTTATGGATGCATTTGGTTGAGAAAACGTACAGACCAGCAAGCGGCCAGAAAAATCGGTCATTCTAAACGCTCCAGTTTGCGAGACTAAGTCACATTTATGCAGGCACCCCCTACCAACACTATCGGACGCCCAGCCATCCGATTTCGTCCTTGATTTCAACTTTCATTTATTTGTAAAAGTAGCCAGAATAACCAACATCTTTTATTGTAATGTCGCGGACGTTTCGTTTTAGTGATGTCACCTAGGTTTATGAAAATATTTGCCATCCTACACCCGCTACTGCAATTTTCTGATTCCGTCGGTACCCAGTAGCACGAAAGTAAATGCATGCACGCCTGCAGCTTGTACTAGTAGTACTTGCTTGCGAACTCATTTTGCTAAATTGTACAAACGGTTTTCTGTCAAATTCCTTGTGTGTCCAATTATCATCCGAGAAATGTTGGTCAGGACTTGCCTGGTCATGCCGTTACAAGCGTACCTCACATCGTCGAGAGTAAACGTTTCTTTCTTTGGATAATTAAGGTTCGTCACAGCCAGCTTCCAAATCAGACACTCGTTTGTTTGCTCAGAAAATCACTAGATTGCAGTTTCAGCCTGTTGGGCATCATCATTAGTGCGCATCCATCGAATCCATCAGGATTCGAACCCATGACCACCAGCGGCTTGCACCGCCAGTCAGCAGCTCATACCATTGGGTCACGGGGAACAGCTTCGGACCGTCATGATTTACAAGGTAACTGCGATATAGCGCGTCTTACTCTTATTTTAGTACTCGCCCCGTCCGATTTGAGTCCGCGGTCGGACGTTTGAGTGTTTGGTGGTGCTGACAGACTACTGGCATTTTTGAGAACCGTAGGATTCATATAAGCAGATTGTTAACCATTTTCACAATGTACTTACTGATGCTACGTGGGCTCAGTTTACAGGCCCTAAGTAGAAGTTCTAGTGTGCTTTACTTGTAATTGCTCGCTGGCGTACTATTCCTGAACTGTTTGGGTGCTTATCGAATCTGAAATAGCCACACTGTGCATCGGCTGGCAGATGGGGAGCATCAGCGTCTACCTAGGTGACTGATGACGCTACTGGCTTGTCGGCACATACTACCGTAGCATCCGACCCGTAAAATAAGAATATCACTCCTGCTTTCCCGGCATGCTCACACCCCAAGTTTAGAAGTAATGAAGCTCTGCCATTGCTTCCGGTTGCATATCATATGTTTGGGCTTACGACTTACTTCTCGCAGCTCATCTCCTAGGCTGTCAGTATTGTACTTCCAGTAGTTTACTGATGGATACCTTTCAACTTTAACGAGTCTTTAATCATATAGTATTAGGTTAGAGAAAACTAAATAACTTTATGTGGCAAGATTTAATCTGGCGTTCGCAGGACGTGTGTGAGTCACTTTTACGCTGTTTTTTCACACTAGCCGAGTTATGCCGTACATCGTAACTAGCACCAACCTACTCACCTAGTCGTTGTAGCAGGGTTTGCGACTACAAAATGATGTCATCGTCAGCCAATCCGGTGATCAAATGACCCAAACACTTGGCTTGCATTCCACAGACAACTTCGAATCCACCTCGTTGCTGGCAACTTGACTGCATCCCGGCCGGGATGCAGCCGTTAGTCCTTACGCAGCTACTTGACATATGTACGGATTATTGGTGTAACCATGTTATATACCTACTGTGACGGCAGCTGGTAATTTTGGTAAATGAACAGGATGCGGGACCAATGGCCAGAAAGCCAA